TGTGAGGCCTTTCAGTACAATGCAGACTTACCTAATGTTTTTGTACATTTATTACAAGTTCGTATTGGAGCTGAAAAATGTTAAACCAATACATAAATGCCAAAATCTGCAGCTATTCTATAGTGACTGATTTTGTGAGGTAGTTTTGTATCAACATGGGGACACCAAATATTGATATTGCATTAAATAAATTTAATAATTACTAAAAACAAGAACAAGAAGCTGCATCTCATGCACCACCATCCTGAGATAAACGAGCAAAATTTACATTTAACTGGCCCACCTGAAAAACATTGCTTCACTGGACACACTCGCCTTAACAAAGCTGCCTCCTAATTCAAAGCAACATCTCAGCCACATAAATGAAATTCAACAGCAACCTTGTGACATTGACAAAAACTCCCCACAGCACTAAATGGGAGTCTATGGAGACTCCCTTACTCTTTGAGAAGGCCCCAAAAGTGAATCAGGGGAACTGCATGTTTTGGCCTTAACTTCATTTCTCAGCCCCGTAAGTTGCTGCTTGGGTCCTACTGATGAAAAACACTGATGCACTCACTAACAGCCACTTTGGTCACAAGCACCATTCACAAATACACAGAACGAGCACGAAAATGAAGCTTACACCACGGCCAAGTTTCTTACAGTGTGTGAATGTGTGTGTGAATGGGTGGATGACTGTGTAAAGCGCTTTGGGGTCCTTAGGGACTAGTAAAGCGCTATATAAATACAGGCCATTTACAGGTCATTTACTTCTAGATTCTGATTTCAGCATAAACTAATCACCTGTCTAATCTCATCTAATCCAATCCAGTCATCTGCTCAAAAAAAAATCAACTGTGAACACAGTGCTTTAATTCATTGCTTCAATATCATGTCTTCTATTAAAACAGGATCGATTCTGCTGTAGTTTGTTACCAGGGAACTTAAGCATCGTGCTGATTTGAGTGGCGTGTTGTGAACACATTCTTACAGTGACAGCAGGAATCCGGAGGTTGGCTCCTAGCATGTTGTTAAGTTGGGGGAAGGTACTCCAGGCGACATATTCTCCCCTAGTACTGGTTGCTGCAACAAGCAGAGTCTGATACTGGAATCTCACAACTGGCTGTTCCTCATAAGTGCTCCTTTTTATCCAAAAACCTAAAATTAAAAACAAGTATGAGAACAAGGAGCAATTACAAACATATGCAAAATAAATCAGACTAACACCCATTTGAAATAAATAAATAAATAAATTGCTGGACCACTCCTTGGAGGTCAAGAGACTGGAGCTGAGATATTTGTGTGGGGAAATCCCAGTAAATTCCGGTAAATCAGCAGTTTCTGAAAGACTCAAATCAGCCCGTCTGGCTCCAACAACCATGCTGTATTCAAAGTCAGTGAAAATAATACTAAATTCCCTTTCTTAAATGATTCTCATTTAGAAAACAGAAGCAGCTTGATGATGTCACTGAAGGCTTCTGTTTTCAACTCTGTTGTCATTTTACACATGGACACCACCAACCACTCGATTATCAGTTGTAATAATAAACGTGAAAAATAATTACAACCTGTGATGCAATCAAACAACCACGTACAATGCTTTCTACGTGTTTTCTGTTTAAAGCAGACATGAATTAAGCGTTTTAACATGTGTTTCACAGTCATACGAGAGCAATAAGAGAAACAGGGAGCCTGTGATTCCAGACAGAGATAAATGAAGTCTGATAGTGCAAAATGAATCTTAATAGGTGTATAAAAGCTTCAATCGGGAGTTTTGCCATGCTTTGATACCTAGCAGAATTGGGAGAATAGAGGAAGTGCCACTGGATTTTGCTTTACCAGCTAACATTATTATCTATGAAAATTCCATGGCGTGGCGCAACCCGGGTGTTTTTCCACGAGTGACGTGCAAACAAATATTTTGCTTCTATTAGCGTGGCATGTGTGGCTATTAAAGGGTGTAGTTTTTAGAGCGCATGTAGAGTTTCTGGACCGTAAATGTACCTTGGCTCCTGTAAGCAACCAGCAGAGGCGGGATGTAGGTGAGGCACAGAACCACAACCAGGAACAGCGTGGCTTTCGTGCACACGCTCGTTTTGTACCGAATCAAAGCCGGGTGAGAGTACACCTCATAGAAAGCCATAAGTGTGCTGGAGGTATGAACAGCTCAGTCTTCCAGATAGCAAAGATGCTAAACCGACGGAAAGCCCTCGGAGGATCAGCGTGGGCAAACCGACAATAAAATGCTAAGCAAGCACAAATTATCCCTTAGTCATCTAACCGCTTCCGTAATGAAGTGACTCTAGTAGGGCACTGGTCAAAAACACAGTGAATTAACATGCTATTTATGTTAGCACCAAGTACCGCGCCATGTTCCTTCCTAGCTTAGCGTCTGGCGGTTACCATGGCTGCCAGTGTTCGCGTTTGTGCTGCATTCACGCGATACCAGCACGGTGAGGAGCACCCTTAGCAGAGGTTTTTTTTTTTTTTTCAATCTTTTTGAGGATAGGGGGGTCTCTGATTATTTTTTAGTTTCTCTTTGAGGCAGTTTTGTGTCTCTTACTTTGTGCCTTGGTCATTTTGCATCTTGTCAATTTGCACCCGTTTCAGGCCACTTCCTGTATTTGCCTATGTTTTCACTTGGGTATGTATGCAAACACATGTCTGTTGCGTTTTTTCTATCACTTTCTGTTCATTTTGCATTTTCCCTTTACATGCCAATCTAAATATACTTTATTTTTCACTATGACGTCACATAATGAAATTCTGTGTGGTAGTTTTCATCTTAAAATAAGACATTAATTGCTACATAATATATAATTGTACACAATAGAAAATAAATAATCATTAAAGATAATTTTGTGTTTATTATTATTATTATTATTATTATTATTATTATTATTATGGATGGTTGGATGGGTTCATTATGCATTAACACCAATGTCAAATTCATTTTACATTGTGGCCCACATGCAGACCACTTTGATCTTAAGTGGGCCAGATGAGTGAAACTCTGTTTATTGTCATTGACCAGAGGTTTAACTGCACATTTAAAGTCCAAATCGGTTTTTCTACATGATAACGTTTTTTTTTACTGTAGTTAGTAAAAAAGTAACACCAGCCTTAATGATTCTGGGCTTATATTGTAAAAAAAAAAAAATACATGTGTAAAATTAGAGAAGCAATTCTGCTATCTCATTGCCCAGGCTGTTCTATAATTATATAACAGAAAGTTTTAGTTGTTAATTTTTTATTTTATTTTTTGTCTGTGAACTTTTTGCAAATCAATAAATTGCTCTAGTAGAGCATCGTTTAATTGCTTATTTGTTACTTAATTACTTTGTTATGAAGGGCTATGAGGTGGGAAAAGCTGTAAAAGGTATGAAAATACAGTTAAAAGTCCAATATTTGTCATCTTTCACATTTTCCAAAACCCCCCAATGTGCCTGATTACACTCTTTGCCCGGCCGAAGATGGCCCCCGGACCTTATGGTTGACACCCTGCCATTCGTAGCTGGACTGAGAGCACTTGAAGGCAGCACCAAAACCATCAGCACCTCCCCTGTGTCAGACAGTGACGTCACCTCCCTGATAGACGGACAGCTGAAAGCTCCTGGCTCAGCGGGGTTGTTGACGTTTTGTTTTGACCGCTTTTGTCTGGATTTTTGGACATTATCCGCAGATTCAGAAGCCCGCCTTTCGACCCTGCCGTCACGCGTCAGTGCGGGGATCCAGCAAAGATGAAATGGATGTTTAAAGAGGACCATTCCCTCGGTAAAGGGGTTTGGATTGTTATGAAACGAGAGATCTTGTCATGTCACGCACCCTCCGTTCTGTGTCTTTCTCTCCGCATCCATTGTTGCCATCTCATCCCATATAGGTGTAGAAATGTATTGCTTGCCTCAGCATATAAATCCATGATGGCTGATGCTGCATGGCTAGCAACTAATGCTAAGATTATTCTTGCAAGTGTTATGACCGCTGTCAAAATCCGGCTCACCTTTCAATATCCCTGATGCATCCAATCAATCCTACCCTGAAATGTGTTTTTCCACTGCATGCATGTTCTTAACCAAAGTGCATTTAAAAATCCCACAATTTAATGTTGCTTTGCCTATATGTAATCACTACTTAAAACCCTGTGGTAATAACACGATTAAAAGCTGTCAGGGACTGTTGTGGCAAATTCGGCTGTATGCAGTAGGGCTACAACTTTTTGTGTTGCTGCTGCTGGGTAACCCCCTCCAGGGTCTATTTAACTAGGCCTTATAACTTAAATGGGTACTGAAGAGGGCTTCCTCAGTGATTCAGAGCTGGTAACACCTAACACAAACAGTGTAAGTGTTATTATGTTTATTAATAATGTGCCAGAATTTGGAACTGAGTTTGGTGTAAAGTTCTCTCCAAATTTAGATTGCTGGAACAGCTTTGCTCCTCAGCCTCTGTCTCCATACTCTCTTCAGATAACCTCGAGGTTCCTTTTTAAAGAAACGCACAGCAAAAGTAGGCCTCTTAACTGGGCTAATGAAAGTGTGCACCTAAATGAAGCACACATCTTCTCACCCATCACCTCATCCTCTCTGACCTCTGTTCATCGTTTTCCCTGCTGCACGCACTCTTTCCTCCAATAGATGCTCTTTCCTCCTCCTGATATAATAATCACTTAATAAAAGCTGCTGATGTGACTTACTGCTGATCTGTGACAGTAATGCCTTTAAGTGTCCACTTTAACACACATGATCACACTGTGAGTTGATGTTAGAAGGCATCCGCCGCTCTGTCTGCGTAAACTGCAGTCAACCTTAATGCTGTGCTTGAATGTGCATTTGAGCCGATAGATCTGACTAGCCTTGGCTTGAAAGGCCAGAGGAATCCCAAGAGGCCTCGCTCAGCCCTTTAATCTCTGACTTCCTGTTTGTTTCCTGTCTCTCCTTCAGAGCACCGATGTGTGGAGTCAGCCAAAATACGCAACAAATATCCTGACAGAGTACCGGTGAGTTGTGGGGGAAGGGCAGTTACCCAAAACCTGCTAAAATCACATCAGGATTGGGTAAACGTGCAATCCTCTGACATTGTTTAAATAAGCAGAACTGTAGGCCCGTCCCTCTCATCTTTAGCCTGGAGGATGCAACATTCATGGTTTCCATAAAGAATTTGAGATTCTGATTGACCAGACCACCATCCATTTTCTTCTGCCTATCCGGGCAGAAAATGACCACAGGACAACTTTCCATTTCTCCTCAGTCTGTCTTAATTAAGTTAGGCCCCAGCAGAGTGCCTATCTGTTCAGTTTGTCTATTTTTTCCATTGACCATGGTTTACTAATGTATTCCTAAGCCCATGCAGTGATTACTATAGAGAGTCATGTCTGTCTCTAATGCAGTAGAACACGAGGACCCCAGAGATCAAAATTTTAAATTAGTTTTCAGCCTTGTCCCTTGTGCAGTGGGATTTTCCCTCCTTTGTCTGAATCCTTTAAGGATGTTGTGCGTCACAGCCTGGGCGCACTCTACCTCTCGCACTATGGCAGCTGGGATGGGCCACAGTTATGGCTCTGTGATGGTTTAGTGTTGCATTCAGCCAGTGAAAATTGCAAATGCAATAAAAACATGCGTGGATTGTGACACACATTAAAACCTTACAAGTACCTTGCTGCTGAGGGCTTAATGGTGACACATGTTCTTACAACTTCACTCACAGACATTATTGTAAGGCTAAGCTTAATGGTCATCCAGAAGCTTTCAGATAGGGAGTGCAGGTGTTTGCTACAGTATTGGGAGATTTGTGGCCCACACAGAGCATGACCACAGTGTGTAAGAATGCATTTGTCTGTTAATGTGTGCACTCCAGGTGATAGTGGAGAAGGTTTCTGGCTCTCAGATAGTGGACATAGATAAGAGGAAGTACCTGGTGCCCTCTGACATCACTGTGGCCCAGTTCATGTGGATCATCAGGAAACGCATCCAGCTGCCTTCAGAGAAAGCCATCTTCCTCTTCGTTGACAAAACGGTCCCCCAGTCCAGGTGAGAGTGCGCTGCGTTCTATTCAATTCAATTTTATTTATATAGCGCCAAATCACAACAAAAGTCGCCTCAAGGCGCTTCAGAGATACAGAGAAAAACCCAACAATCATATGACCCCCTATGAGCAGCACTTTGGCGACAGTGGGAAGGAAAAACTCCCTTTTAACAGGAAGAAACCTCCGGCAGAACCAGGCTCAGGGAGGGGCGGGGCCATCTGCTGCGACCGGTTGGGGTGAGAGAAGGAAGACAGGATAAAGACATGCTGTGGAAGAGAAACAGAGATTAATAACAGATATGATTCAATGCAGAGACGTCTGTTAATACATAGTGAGTGAGAAAGGTGACTGGAAAGGAAAAACTCAATGCATCATGGGAATCCCCCGGCAGCCTACGTCTATTGCAGCATAACTAAGGGAGGATTCAGGGTCACCTGGTCCAGCCCTAACTATATGCTTTAGCAAAAAGGAAAGTTTGAAGCCTAATCTTAAAAGTAGAGATAGTGTCTGTCTCCCGAATCCAAACTGGAAGCTGGTTCCACAGAAGAGGGGCCTGAAAACTGAAGACAGACAGAGCTCGCTGTCACAGTCCTTTCAGAGAGGCAACAAATATCCAGGTAGCTCACGTAGTGGTGAAGCTAATGTTAAATAATTCAGTTCATCAGCGCAACTTAACGTGGAAGTGTTATTGTCCACCGTAACTGTTAGTGGTCATTGAATTATGTTCATGATGATTCGTCTTATAAATCATGACACATCACTCTCCACCATATATTATTTTTACTATAGTGCTTTGCACTTAAGGTAGATATTGCACAGGGATCAGCAGTTTTCTAGGTGTGAGTGTTGAGTAGCCTGATGGTCGATGGGAAGAAGCTGTTTATGCTCTTTATGCTCCTGTACTTTCTTTCATAAGGCAGCGTGAAAGTCTCTCATCTATTCGTAGTTTATTCAATTAAATCCGGTTTTACTTATATAGCACCAATTTCTAACAAAAGTCACTTCATTGTGCTTCATATTGTGAGGTTAAGACCCTGAATTATTAGAAAGAAACCCCAGCAATCACAAAGCCCCCTATCAGGAAGCACTTGACAAAAGTGGGGAGGACAAACTCCCTGTTAACAGGAAGACATATGCCACCTCTTCACTAACAAAGCAATAATGCTGGAGCCAAATCTAGAACCAGTTCCACAAAAAAGACTGGGGCTCTGGGACAACGTTTTTTGGCATCGTCTCTACTGATGTGGTTGCTCCAAGTAGTTGTTTAGCAAGAGGATGTCAAAGATGTTTCAGCAGCACAGCTTCTACAGTCCACAGCTTTGATAAATGGAACCAGAAGGAAGAACCACTTGCGGCTCTTTTTTATTTTTAAAACTCAAACATTTGCAAATAAAAAAAACATTAAGCGTTAAATAGAAAACACCAAATGTAAGAAAGAGTAGAGGGTCTGGCTTCAGTCTGGCTCAAAGGGATGTATTTCTTACCAAGTGTCCTTGCTTTCTTTGTGAGCCGCCTACAACAGCATGTTGTTGTTGGGTATTTGTGTCACAGCGAGTGCTGACGTGAGGCTGTGGAGCTACACCAGGCACTGATTTTACAACCAGTAAATCAGAAACATTTATTAAGGAATTTAATGTATTCTGGGCCAGTGTTGGTGTGAAATGCTCCTGGAGTTTGATGTACAATCACTGAAGTGGATCTATTTCAGTGCTGACCCCTAACAAATATATGATTCCCTGTTTTGCAACTCATCAGCTGCGTTTAGAATAATTTTTTATGAGGAATTTATTCCACACGTAAATCAGCTGTTGTGAGGAATGTTCATGTTCATGACCTCTCAACCTCACGCTCCCATTGAAGCTATTATACAGACGACGTGTAGTTTTTATCAGATTTGACAGCGAGTCTAATGAAATTTAGACACACCGGCACAGTAGGGCTTAACATTGCTCAAGTCTTTGTCATATTTGACATGATATAACCACTGGTTGCTAGGGAAACGTGTAATGCTAGACTGGTTGGCAGATGTCCCAGGTAATTCTCAGTAATTACTAGTTGTTGTTGTTGTAAAATCGACACAGTCCCCACCTTTAAAGCAAAAGCTGCAGCTAACTTTTACTTTAAAGGCACACGGTGTGCAGTTCTGCTTTTGCAGTTTTACTTTGAACAGTGTGAAAAGCGCAGGTTTTCTGCAGGCAAACCCATCATTGGTTCCCCACAGAAAACCACGATCTGGGCCTTGAGGGTTAAACTAGGCTAGCCCATAGCAGGTTTGCCCTTTTGGGTGGGCAGTGGGTCTATCCACAGATCTCCCGCATGAACCCTGAGGAGGAACATTTGCTAGAATGATTGTCAAACGCCCAAAACCACAGACAAGTTAACATCACATATCAACTCGTGTCTACAAAAGCTCAGTACATGCAGTGAAATCCTGGTACTTAGATTACAGTTTCAAATTACTTTTATATCTGTTCCTCCATTTAAAGGGTGGAGCTGCCCAAATAACTGCTGGGTGGAATTACCAAGGTCACTATAGAGTGGTGACAGTTGCTTCAAGAAGGATTTTGATATATCTGTGCACTGTATATAAAGAATGCACATATTGGACCACACCTCAGGCTCAGCTTCTGAATCCAGTTTTCAGTCTCATTGAATTTCAGTCCTGTGGCATCAGCACATTAACTGTGCACCAGGAGCTTAATGATACGGGTTTCCATGGCCGAGGAGTTTCTGT